CTCCCTCAACTATGTCCGTCTGTAGCATAAATGCTAGAGTATTTAAGGTAGACATTGCATGTTTTTATGAGGATGTGTAAACACAGAGGGTCCCCAGGATCTCCCAAGGTGCTGAGTGGTATAGTTCCATTGATTTTTTTTAGAGTGTTACAGTGTCAACATTTGAGGGTGAACATTTGCAGAGGTTCCCCCGCCCCCAAACACTGGAGAAAAGTAAAGACCGAGTCATACACAGAAATCCCTAGTGGTTGGTGGTGAATTCTCCCAGGATTTTCTTCACCTGACCCGAATTCTCCCAGGATTTTCTTCACCTGACCCACGCTGGGGTGGTGGACACCTGAAAACTGTCCTGGGGATTTTTAAGGAAGGGTTTTAAATACTTTAAAATATGGGAGTCACTTTAGTCAGTTAAAACAGAAATTTAATATCAAGTCCTTTAAACTTTGTAACTTTTTTTTTAAAAGAAAAAAACCTTTCTGTTTTTTTGTGTTTTGTGATTTCTGACCTTTTACCTGAAGCAATCTTCTGAAACATGTCCCAGATCATCAGAGTGAATTTTGATGAGGATAGCAGTTAGCAACTTTAGTCATCTGTAAGGTGAACTCACACTTCAGGCCTCTGTGTTCTAAGGGCATGCCTTAGGATGGCGTGTTTGGGTGTGAGAGGTTAGTATTTCTAGCTAAGCAGTCTCTGCTCTCATGATTGTAATAGTTTTGTAATATTTAATAGGTACATATTAAAGTTCATGGAAAATATAAAATGTGTTTATCTAATAGCAGTTATTTTTAATGACATATCAAAATAGAGATTTCATAAAAATAAAGCATAACCACCCAAATACAAGGTTGTGTACTGTTCTCTTATTTGTCGGATTGTGGGTTTGGTTTCTTTTTCCTCTATGTAAATGTTATATATAATGGGAATTTTAAGACAGTCTTTCGTTTAAAAATGAGTGTTTAGGCTGGACATAGTAGTCACCCCTTTAATCCCAACAATGGGAGGCAGAGGCAGGTGCATCTCTGTGAATTTGAGACCAGCCTGGTCTACAGAGTGAGTTCCAGGACAGCCAGGGCTACAAAGTGAGATCCTGTTCCCCCAAAACAAAAACAAAACAATAAATTAAACTACAGTTGAAGTGAATGTTTTATTCCTCTCCGAACTGAAAACTGGCCACCTCTGTGGTAAGAGTCAGGTGCGTATTACAGCATCACACTTGACTTTCCATTTCACAGACAGCTCCATCTTCTCTAGACAGTCCAGAACAGATTTCAGTTCTTACCACAGCTTAAAGATCTGTGAGAAAAACCAAATATCCACTGGCCTTTGTGTGAACTACTTACTGGCTTCTAAAATAGAGCTGTCTTAGTGTTTCTGTTGTGATAGACATCATGACCAAAAGTAGCTTGGGGAGGAAAAGTTTGCAGTCCACTGTCCAGGGATGTCAGGGCAGGACCCACAGCAGGAACTTGGAAGCAGGAGCTGATGCAGAGGCCATGTGGGAGCACTGCTTACCGGCGTGTTCAGCCTGGGACCACCAGCCCAGGGGTGGCATCTCCCACATCACCACCAGCCCAGGGGTGGCATCTCCCACATCAGTCAATAAAATGTAACAGGCCAATCTAGTGGAGCATTTTCATAGTCGAGGTTCCCTCTTCACAAATAACTACTGTGTCAAGTTGACATAAAACTAGCCAGCATAGGAGCTCCAGACTTCTAAAGTTAACTTTTGTCCTTTTTAAGACCGAGGAGAATTGTGTATCCCAGGCTGACCTTAAACTCACTATCCTTCCTCAGCCTCCCAAAGTCTAGGATTATAGGCTTGTGTCATCAAGCCCCACCCTGTCCCCGTTTCCTCTGTATGTTTGGCTCAAGCATGATTTATTTTGTCTCATTGATCCGGAATTGAAAAAAAAAAGAATGTAGGCGATGTAGTATCAAAAGGGACATTGGCAGGGTTGGGAAGACGACTCGCTGGGTAAAGCACTTGCCCTTCAAGCCTGTCCCCAGACCTGACTCTACAGAGTTGTCCTCTGACCTCCACACATGTCCCCACACTCACATCACACACAGGGAAGGGAGATTCCCAAAGCTGGCCTTCAACTGATTGTGTAGCTGAGCCAGGCCTTGAACTGATCCACCTGCCCTCACCTGGGATTACAGATGTGCACCACCAAAGCTAGAATACAAAGCAGAGATTCCTTTTTTTTTTTTAATTCATACAATGTATTTTGATCATAGTTTTCCCTCCCCCAGATCCTCCCCACATCTCCACCCATCCAACTCCATGCCTTCTTGTAGTTGGTTGTTTTGCTCTTTTGGGGGCCTGTCACCCAGCTCCCAAATAAATCACACACAGAAGCTTATTCTTAATTATAAATGCTAGGCCTTAGCTTGGCTTGTTGCTAGCCAGCTTTTCTTAAATTATCCCATCCATCTATCTTTTGCCTCTGGGCTTTTACCTTTCTCTTCTGTGAATCTTACTTTCACTCATACTCCATGGCTAGCTGGGTGGCTGGGTGGCTGGGTGGCTGGCCCCTAGCATCCTCCTCTCCTTGTTCTCTTGCTCTTTCTTCTTTTCCTTCCAGATTTCTTCTTCTATTTATTCTCTCTCTGCCTGCCAGCCCCACCTATCCTTTCTCCTGCCTTGCTATTGGCCGTTCAGTTCTTTATTATACCATCAGGTATTTTAGAGAGACACAGTAACACAGCTTCACAGAATTAAACAAATGCAATATAAACAAATGTAACACACCTTAAAATAATATTCTATAACACCTTTCTCTCTTTAGAAAACAAATAGTCAAAAAATAATAAAAATTTAAAAGAAAACACAAGAACCCCACCCCCAACACACACACCATAAAAACAAAATCAGAAGCCATAATATACAAACAAACAAAAAAAAACCAGTAAGATAAAAATGCCCAAACGATATGAGACAAAAATATTAGAAAAACACCACTGAGTTTATTTTGTGTTGACCGTCTGCTGCTGGGTGTGGGGCCTATCCTGGAGTATGGTTTTTATACCCATTGAGACTCCATTGGTGAAAACTAAATTTTTCTTTGCAAGTGGCTGTCAGTTGGAGATAGCTTCTTGGTTAGGGTTGAGAACGTGTGTTCACTTCCCCTTCTTGGCACTGGGATCCCATCTGGCTTGAACTTGGGCAAACCTGTGTGTGCTGCCACAGTCTCTGAGCTCATGTGTGTATCGGTCTTTTTCTGTCTGGAAGACACTGTTTCCTTAGAGTCCCCATCACCTCTGGATCTTACGATCCCTTTCTCTTCCACATAGATCCCTGAGCCAGGAGGGGAGAGGCTTGATGAAGATGAAGGCATCCCGTTTAGGACTGCTCTCACTCGGCACATTGTCCCCTTATGGTTTCTTGATTAGTTCTTACCTGGTGCAGGAGGAAACATCTCTGATGATGGCCGAGTAAGACACCGATCTCTGTATAGCAGAATGTCCTTATGAGTCATTTTATCACTGTGCTCCTCAGCAGGACAATAGTATTTGATTTTCTCCTAGGCCTGTGGCTCATCTGGTCCCAGGTGCTTGGCCACCAGAACAATATCAGGGATTGGTTCCATCTTATGGAGTGGGCCTTGAATCCAACCGATTGGTCACTCCCATAGCTTTTGGGCCACTAGTGCTCCCGTGTATCATGCAGGCAGGTCACCATTGTAGACGGAAGATCTTGTCACTGGGTTGGTGGCCGTCTTTCTTGTCTGGTAGTGTGCAGAGGACCATGAACACCAGTCAGTAGGGGTGCAGTCTCCGGTTAAGCGTTGTTTGACTTTCTGTGTTCAATGAGATCTGTAAGCACAGCACAGATTTCCTGTCCTGAGATAGTAGAGGTACCGTAACTTAGAAGGCTTGCTACTGTTTACATCCTGTGGGTATGTCTTCCAAAGGCCGTATGTCGAGGGTGTGGTCTCCACTGGGATAAGGGGGTGAAATATCACTTACCACCAATGACTCTTGCCAAAGAATTGAAGTTGATTTCAAGATTCAGCAAAATCAGGGGGCTTAAGGTTATGCTGCTCCAAGGTGTCATTACTGGCATTCGGTGAAGGTTTTATTTTGCATACTTCAAAGCCCAAAGCCGAAGCTATGAAGAACATACAGACTGTTTCTCCACACTATCCCCAGCTCTGCTCAGGAGACAAGATCTCATGGTTGAATGGAGGCTGCTTGCATAATGCCCTTGAACGTGTAAGAAGCGGGCAGCAGGGCTGAGGAGCAGGAAGCAAGAAGCGATATCCTGCCCGCAACATTCCTTGGGCAGGTGGGGCAATCCTCCCGGGGCAGTAAAGAACACCCTGTGGTAACAGTTCACACCGAGGACGTGCAGGGACGTCTGTTATATGCAGGCTGCAGCAGATTCACCGTGATGCAGGGCCCGAGTTAGGTTACTAGGATCACGTACTTGAAGGGACCTTGGAATCTTAGCCCTGTGCTTCTCTCTGCTTCCCAGACGCCATGAGTGCACAAGGGTCTTTGTGCTTGTCAGGATAGGCCATGCTGCTACAGTCCCAAAGAGAAAAGGCCAAGCCAGCGTGGCTGAAACTATGGATCAAAATAAACCTCTCTCTTGCTGATTATTCTCAGATATTTTACCAAGCTGACAGCAAGCTGACAGTTAGTTTTTAATGTGGTAAATATAAAAAAAAAAAAAAAATGGAGTGCTACTCAGCCATAAAAAATGAAGTGTGTGTGTGCATGTGTGTGTGTGTGTGTGTGTGTGTGTGTGTGTGTGTAAGGCACATCTGTGAAGGCCAGAGGAGGATGTCAGGCAGCCTGTTTTATCAGCTTCATCCTGAGACAGGGTCTTTCAAGGTTGGTGATCAACAAACACCAGTGACTTCCTGTTCCTGCCCCCACGGTGCTGGAGTTATAGATGCAGGCACGTGACCATACCTGGTTTTTATGTCGGTGCCGGGGATTTGAATTCAGATCCATACCCTTACACAGCACGTTCTCTTACCTACTGGGCCAACTCCCCAGTCCCCTAAATATTTTAGGTCTGAAGTATCCCTTTGGGTCCTGGTCATTTAAAATATATACACATATTTGTGACTGTGTGTGGTGTGACACATTCTGTGACACTGTGTGACAGACTTTTCCTGGAGAGATGCAAACAAGCATCTACTCACCCCAGACAGGGAACCAGCGGCACACCACGGAAAGGAGATACCATCAGAGTCCAGTTGGTGAACTGATGAGTTGTAGTGCAGTCGCTTTCGAGCAGAAATGACTCTAAGACAACTGCATCACCCAAAGTCGGTACCAGCATGGCTGACGCTCACCTCGCTGGGAACCCGGAGCGCACTGCACAGCCTGCAGGCGGGCGGCTCAGCAGGTTGGAGAGTGTCATCTTCCAGGCAGCTGGTCTGGTC